GTGGGAATCGGCCTGCTGTGGGAGCACAGCTCATCTGGGTCAGCCGAACAGCTGTGGACCTGCCCTCTGAGCGGCTGCTCCCTCGTCCAGCATCTTCCGTGGAGCCAGAGCACTCGCTTCTCCAGGGGACCCGGTCGGGGCTGGGTCCAGGGACAATAGCACTGAGAGGCAGCACAGTAGGCCTCAGTCCCGTGGTGGCCACGAACCTGCTTCCCAGACTCTGGGGTCAGCTCTGCAAGCCCGTGGTGGTGCTGTGGTCCGGAGGAGGTGGCAGGGAGCGAGGAGGAGGAGGAGGAGGAGCCTGGGGCGAGGAGGCGACGATCGCAGCCTGGGGTTTCTGCCCATCAGCCTGGGGTTCGCAGCAGGAGCAGCCACTCATCCCGGTCAGCCAAGCGGCACTCCCACCGTGGTAGCACACTGACCACCAGAGGTCAGGGGGTAGCTCCTGCATTAAGCATCTGCCCCCTGGTGGTCAGTGCACATCATAGTGACTGGTCGATCGGTCATTCTGGTCGTTCTGCTGTTCGGTCGCTGGGCTTTTATTATATAGGATTTGTATTTTACCTTCATTTTCATTATAGAATTAATCCATTATCTCTAAAACTTCAAGAGACATAGAAGCATACAAAAGAGAAAAGTCCCCCAGGGTGCTGGTTGGAGTATAAATTAGTACAATTACTTTGGAAAATGATTTGGCAGTGTCTGCTAAAGCTGAACGAATGCCTGCCCCTTGACCCAGCAATTCCACTCCTACATATAGTTCTAACAGACCTGGATACAAGTGTTCACCAGACCATGCACTAAAGTAATTATAAGAGCATTATTCTTTTTGTTGTTGTTGTTAATCCTCACCTGAGGATATTTTTCCATTGGTTTTTAGAGAGAATGGAAGGTAGGGGGACAGACAGAGAGAAACATCAATGTGAGGGAGATACATTGATTCTTTGCCTCCTGACTGGGGCTGGGGATTGAGCCTGCAACTGAGGTATATGCCCTTGACTGGAATTGAACCCAGGACCCTTCAGTCCATAGGCTGACACTCTATCCAGTGAGCCAGACCAGCTAGGGCTAGCAACATTATTCTTAATAGACCCAAACTGGAAAAAAAATCAAATGCCCATCAACAGCACAATAGATAAACAGACTGTGGCATATTCATACCATGGAACACTACATAGCAGTGGTGATAAGCCATCTACAACTACGTCCAACAATATGGATGGATCTCACAATCAACAAGTATTGAGCGGAAGAAGCTCCCTTCCCCCTCAAAAAAGGCCATGCTTTGTATATAAAAGTTCAAAACTAGGCAAAACTAGTATCTGGTGTTGGAGATCAGGATAGTGGCTACCCTTGTGGAGCAACACAGAGACTGGAAGACACACAAGTGGGCTTTGGGGATCCTAGTAAAGCTCTGATTCTCCACCTGGGTGCTGGTTACATGAGGACGTTTAGTTTGTGAAAATTCATCAAGCTACACACTTAAGGTTTCTGCACTTTTCAAAATGACCTTCCACACACCCCCTTTAAAAACCTTTCCCCCTACAGCTATTCACCATCAGGAGATTGGTTTTTCTGTGTCTATGCACAAAGATATGTATAATCTGTAGCTTTAGAAAGGCAGTATTATGTCTTACATACCATTCCACATCGTATTTTGTTTTTAGCTTAGTATGTCGAGGCGATCTTTTTGTTACTGTAAACATAGATCTGCATGATTGTTTTTTCACAGTTGCACAGTATTCTCCTGTGGGATGTGTCCTTTTGTAAACTGGTCCCCTGTTGGTGGGCAGTTAATTCCCGCATTTCATTGGTGTTAGTGATACTGTGGGGGACTTCTTCCTGCACATCTTTGTGTACTTTTGTGACTATTTGTGTAGAGCGAATTAGTTGGGGTGGAATATCTTGGTCTGAAGTGGTCACTTAAGTTAGTTAATCTGTTAATGGCTTGTTTGGTGGGTGGAAGCAGGGAGACCAGTTAGGAGGCTGTTAAAATAGTTTAAACTTGAGGTATTGAAGCTGGTTGGTTGTGAAAAGGGATAAGAAGGGAGAGATATAAGAGATATTAAGGGCAAAGACTTTGTATGACTTGGCATTGATGGGAGAGGGGAAACGTCAGAGATGTCCTGGGGGTTCTGAGTCTAGGTGACTGGGAAGGTTGGGAACACACACTGGAAGGAGCTGATGGAGAAAGTGGGAGCAGGGATGGGTGTGGCTTTGGCCAGCTTGCATCCAAGGAGCCTGCTCATCATCCAGGAGGTGATGTCCATAATGCAGTTGGAAGTGTTGCTCTCAGAGTTGAGGGCTACAGATTGAGGCATAGGATTCACCTAGGATGGTCCTGGTGTTGCTGGAAGGGAATGAAATCAACAAGGGGGAGGATCTAGAGCAGAGAAAGAATCCAAAGACAGAATGGCGAGGCCCTAAATACAGGACGGTAGTAGTGATCAGGGACAGGAGGAAGCCTGCTAGAATTCACGATCACAGAGGCCAAAGAAGGAGGGATCTGAAGTGACTACTTAAGGGATGAAGAAATCAGTGTTAGCCCCCCTCTCTCTGGCCCCCCAATGGGTGTTATCATTACATCTTGTACTTGTCTTCAGAGCACTTACACACTTGTGATTAATCCATGTGATCATCTGTTCAATGTCTGCCTCTCTCCGCACTGAGCTCCATGGAGGCAGGGACCACACCACTCTCGCTCTCTGTCCCCAGCATCAGGCACGGTGTTTGGCACACAGTGGAGTTGGTTCCCTAAGTGTTTGCTGCCTCCTGCAGGAGTCCAGCCGTCCACACACCCTCCCTCTCCCTTAAACCCACATACCACATTCTGCCCAAGTTGGGAGATGAGGGACTTAGGACCCTGCGGGAGAAAATTCAAGCTGCACAGTTTGAGTCTTGGGTGTAGCCAGTGTTAGCGGGTGGCCAAAATGGGTCATTCGAACTCCATTTATTTGTATGTCACCGTGGCCAGCCACAGTTGGTACCCAGAGTCCACAGGACTCCACTCCAGGCCTCGGCAGTGGAGCATCCTGATAACCTGGGATAATGAAGCCTCTCTTGTCAGTGGAGACCAGACTTAGAAGTGCAGTCAGCATCCCATGAACAGAAAGGCACTCAGTGGTTGTTTCTTGAGTTCAGGTATTAGGGGCTGAGATAAGGCCCTGGTGCATGGTTGGAGCCGTCGTTGGACTGGTTCAGCAAGCCCTGTGAACGGAGTGGAAGCCACACTGTAAGAGATGGAAGTGTGTGGTTGGCGACATGGCGGGAGAGGCTGTTCTGTGAGAAATGTGTTGGTTGAAGCAGGTGGTGGAAGAAGTGAAGCCTTGAGCAGACTTGCAGGAGGAGTGGAAAGAGCCGAAGACGGAGAGGTGGCAGATTCAAGGTCCAGAGAGCACAGGGGTGGGAGCACATCCGGTGAGGATGGGAGGAGGAGGGATAGGGAGAACAGATGGCAGATCCGCCTTGGCAAGGAGGTCAGAGAAGAGGGAGGGTCGAGGGGCAGGTTGGAAGGTCTGAGGATGGTGACATTTGGAAGCGGGAAAGAGCAAGTCAAGGAAACACATCTTTTCAGCCAAGTGGGAGACAGGTCATCTGTTGGGATGGATGGGGCTACGGGCTGGGGAGTGGGAAAACATTGGTCCAGGCACTTTGGGGAGTGTAACTGCATGAGCAAGAGATGGCCAGTGGACAGCTTCGATGGTAGATCTTGTTGGTGTGGTTGGTACAACTATGGTCCCAGATTGGGGACTCACAAGGTGACATGTCAGGGGGAACATGCAAGACAGTTGGCTTGGTCAGATTTGGGGAGTTCTGGGAGGTCTTTCTCTGTAGCAGCTAAGGCTACTTTTGTTTGGTACCTACTATATGCCAGGCGCTGTGGTAAATGTTCTATCATTAACCCTCTCAGCAGCTCCATGAGGTGGATGCTACCCAACTTGCCCAAGGTCAGCTTGCCTGTGACTCTGCCTGGGCTGTTGATTGCAAAGCCAGGCTCACCTGTGTGGTGACTCACGCCTATTCTGGGGCCCAAACAGGGTACCGGATGTGGGATACTTAGAGGCCATAGAATGCCACCCAGATGTGAAGCCCACCTCTCCAAACCCCCTCCTCAGCCTCTATGGGGTCTGAGTTGTTATGTTTTAGATGGAAAGCTCACGATCACCAGGCTGTGGGGCACGGAGCCCTTTCCCAGGAGAAATGTGTCAGACTCTGGCGGGTGGGGGCGAGTCGGGGTGGGGCTCCAGAGCAGGGCTCAGTGAGAGGCAGAAATCCCGGACAGGGGTCTGGAGTTTGTCCGGACATAGGACTGTGCTTGTGTGAATGCGTGAGTGGAGGAGCGGCGGCTCTGTGCTGTGAGTGTTTCTGAGGGAGCATGTGTGTGTTTCGGAATCTTCCTCTGTGCCTCTGTACCGCTCTACACAGAGAAATAGAAATATTGAGGTGTGGGGGGTGCAGAAACAAATTAGTGAGAGAACAAATGGAGGAATGAAGGGAACACGGACACAGGGACACACATGTTCCCCCACATGTTCAGAAACACTCGGGGTGACACATAGAAATGCATTGGCAGTTTCCCTGTGTGCTTTCTTGAGTGGGATGGCCTATACCTTGTATGTGGGTATGCGCCTGTGTGTGTGACTGGCCTCAGAAACAGCATGATAGGTCTGTGGAGCCCATGGAAACACAAACGTGGACACTCAGACCCAACGTGTCTTTGCACGTATATTCCTGTGTATGCGTGTGTGTTCCTGTGTGTTTTTCTGAGTATATGTGCACTATATCTGAATAACACAGACACATGTGGGAGACAAACATGTGGGCACATGCTCCGAGAACACGCGCAGAGCACCTGTATCTGTGTCTGTGTTAGAGTCAGGAGGAAGGGGCACCGTTATTGAGCTGGGAGGGGGGAGGCTGGGAGAAGGCCAGCGGCAGGCATCCTGGTCCCGCTCTGTCTCTGGGTACACAGACCCAGTGCTCCTGTCCTCTCCACGCAGGATGGTGGGGTGTGGGTGGTGCTGCTTTCCCCAGGGGGTCAGCAAGCACTGGGGAAGCCCCTGAGGTATGCCAGCTCATCCCAGACTGAGGGTGGATCTCACGAAAGATCCACCCCGCCTCTAGCAAAGCCACAGTCCCCCGGGTGGTGGCCGATGGAAAGCTCTCCACGATCACCAGGCTGTGGAGCACGGAGCGAAGAGACCCTCCCCGGATCAAACCCTGGCTCCCCCGCTTTTCTGGCTCTACAGATGTGAGCAGGTCGCTTAACCCCTGAGCCTCGTGTCCTCGGTGTTGAAGCAGGGAGAGCAGGAGCATCCCCTCAGCGGGGGTTGAGACCACGCTCAGGCAGACCCTCCTTCTCCAGCAGGTTTTAATTGAACACCTACAGTGGCTAGGCCTGTTCTTGACCCAGGGGCTTCAGCAGTGGACAAAACAAAGTTCTTTGTGGGGAAAGCTGGCCAATAAATCAAGAATGCGCCCTGTGTTTGGAAGAAAGCCACCGCATGGCCATAGCGCAGAGAAAGCCAGCGGGTGGTCAAGGAAGGTCTCGGAGAGGGTGATGTGCCATTACAGAATGGAGGCCATGGATTGAGCTCCTGCCCAAGGGGAGGGAATAGCAAGGGCAGAGGACGGTTTGCCTTCATTAAAACCTTGTTTTTCTCCCATTTTACAGTTGGGGAAATGAGGCACAGAGAGGCTGAGTAATTTGCCCAAAGCCTCACAGCCCATGAGAAAAAGATCCAGGATTTGAACCTGGGCGATCTGGTTTCAGAGCCAGTGGCTTCAATCAGTGGTCCTCTATGGAGGGTGACTGTTGCCCCTGGGGATGTTTTGCAATGTCTGGAGATGTTTTTGATTGCCACACTGGATTGGAGGGTGCTACTAGCATTTACTGGGTAGAGGCCAGGGTTACCGTTAGACTTTTACAGTTCACAGGACATCCCTGACAACAAAGCAATATCCCATCCAAACTGCCCGTTGTGCTGGGGTTGACAAGAGTATGGCCTATAGTAGGTGCTCAATAAATAGTAGCTGCAGAAGAGGAGGAGAAAGGATTTGGAGAAGGTTGCAGGAGAGACATGACTTCCAATTCAAATGGGAGAGGCAGTCCATGTAAATGAATCCATCAGGTGAGAGAACACATGTGATACTGATTATGGGGTGGGTATGAATGACACACTGCCCCCTGCAGGCTGGGTGCAGGTGAGGCCAGTGGTAGGAAGAGGTTGATGGGTTGGGGGTGGGACCAAAGCTGGCCGCCACCAGCCCCTGAAATGCTAACCAGATGTCTGGCCTCTCTGTCCTCTCCCACCCTGTGTCTCTCTCCTCATTTCCCTCTGCCTCTCTGCCAAGAAGGGGACAGCCGGAGGCTGAAGGGGGCCATTCAGAGGAGCACGGAGACGGGCCTGGCGGTGGAGATGCCCAGCCGGACGCTGCGCCAGACCAGCCATGAGTCCATCGAGGACAGCATGAACAGCTACGGCTCGGAGGGCAAGTGAGTGTGAGCCCGGCGTGCCCCCAGGCCTCCTGGCTCTCCGTCTTCCCTGGCATGGAACGGGAGGGTCTCAGACTTTGAGGGGCATTGGCTGAGGGTTCCCACGCTGTCCTGTCTTCAGAAGGGAGGCGATGAAGCAAGGAAGCTCTGAGGAAGACCAAGGACAGCCAGACTCTGGTGCCTGACTGCCTAAATTTGAATCCTGGCTCCACCACTCACTGGCTGTGTGACCTTGGTCAGGTCATCTCTCTGTGCCTCAGTTTCCTCATCTGTAAAATGAGGATAAATACTAACATTAAAGGGGTGTTAGGAAGACTAAATGGGTTCGTTTTTATAAAAAGAATAGGACCATGCCCAGCCTCCACCTTGGCTCCTCGAAATTTTGGGCCCTGCCTGGCGGCTGGGGGTTTCTACTGGCTGAAAGCCTTCCCACCTCCAGCCCCTCCTAAACTGGGCATCTCTGGCCTCTGTGAATGGCCTCGCCTTGGCAGATGCTGCCGTTCCACCCACCCCCTAGAGAGACTTTCCGGAGGGCGGGAAGAGGAGGAGGACCGGCGGAAGGGAGAGGAGGAGGAGGAGAAGGGAACAAATGTTTTCTTTAACCTGAAAAACTTGGCAAGGCAGCAAAACTTGGAGGAAGATATTCTGGGCATCTGGGTAGTAGTGGGTCCCTGCTGAGTTTCAGGGGGTCAGGAGGTTTGAGTCCTAGTCCTGGCTCTGCCACTTACCCAAGTGGCCATGGGCATGTTCCTTGGCCTGTCGAAACAGCAGGAGGCCAGCAAACATTTCGTCTGTTGGTTTGAGGACCAGGTCACGGGAGGGTAGAGTGGTGCCGTGAGCAGTGACAGGAAGTCAAACCCATATTCCCATTTCATAGAACAGGAGATGAAGGCCACTCAACTTTCTCCAAGGGGAGCAGTGTGGGAGGGTAATAAAGTTGTTGTGAGGACTCAGTGAGTTAATATATGTGAAAGCACTTAGAATAGTGACTGACACATAGCAAGCGCTGTTATTATTTGCAGTCGTGGTTGTTGTTTGTTGTTGACTTAGCTGCTGTTATTTGGATATTTTGCTCCTCAAGGTCAGATGCATCTTAATGGATATATTGAGCCACCCTAAACAAAATCGTGTCTATAAAGTGCTTAGCACAGGATAAATGTTGGCTTTATAATTATTAAAAGATTTTAGATGTGGCCAGCATGGCTCAGTAGTTGAGCGTCGACCTATGAACCAGGGGGTCACGTTTCGATTCCTGGTCAGGGCACATGCCTGGGTTTCGGGCTTGAATCTCCAGTGTAGGGCGTGCAGGAGGCAGCCAATCAATGATTCTCATCATTAATATTTCTATTTCTCTCTCCCTCTCCCTTCCTCTCTGAAATCAATAAGAAAAAAAGTATATATATTTTAAAAAGGGGGTTTTGGGTGCATGTCTTGAGCCCAGTTGAGGGAGGATTGGGTGGGTTGGAGGATGTGGGGTCCAGTAGAAGGCAGAGTCTTGCCCACCTGAGAGGGACTGAGCTCAGCCAGGTGCTGCCACCCTGCTCAACACCTGGGCGAGGAAAGGAAGGTGAAGGGACAGGTGGTTGGCCTCCTCCTTTTTCTGGAAGTATTTTGGGCACTGGCAGGACCCAGATTCCAGACTCTGAAACAGGAAGGGGTGTGACCATCCTCCTCCTGGGCTCCTGCCAGCCCAGCCCAGGCTTATAGGAAGCCAGTGTGCTTGAGCAGCCCCCCAGCCTGTGGACCTGGGAGCTTCTGTGTCTGTCTGCCCCAGCCACTGGATCACCAGGCTTGTGTATTCCTGCAGGTGGGCACAGGGGTGCTCCCATGTGGATTTTTATTTCAGCAAATGGGATCAGCCACTTACAGTGTACAAGACAATTGGGCTGTGCACCTTGGGGACCCTGCCTTCTTCTGACGAAGCAACTAGCAGTGAGTGGTGAGAACCGCAAAGGACAGGCATAGAGAACTGGGGAAATGTTGCATCCTACCCAGGTCTTGGGGCTGGGGAAGGGGTGCATGTGGGTTGGGCCACTTGTTAGTGAAGATCCTTGGGCTCCAGATTATACTATACCAGGTTACAGTGGCTTTGTCCCTCGCTGTTCCGGATATAGTCCCATAGCATTGGCATCCCCTGGAAGCTGGGTGGAAATGTAGCATGTCAGGCTCCATCCCAGACCCTCTGAATCAGTCTGCATTTAACAGGCTCCCCAGGTGGTTCATGTGCACATTAACCCTTTGAGTGCCAACCAATATCCTAGGAACTATGCTAAAATTTCCAAGGCATTTTTTCTTATTTTTCAGGAGTTTAGGAAAAAAAAATTATGAAAATTAGGCAGATAAATGTCAGTAGTCACTTTTAGAACTACAAACATTCGGCATCATAAGTAATCTGCACTTAGGTGCCATCTGTCAATAAAGAGTGAACTACTAGCATCTAATAGTGACACTGCAGGAGGAGCGCGATCGCGCTCCCGGCACTTTTGGGGAAAGACATATGTTGAGTGCGATCGCTCCCCGGCACTCAAGGTTAAGGTTGAGCAGCACTGGCTCAACAGTGATGCTCTAGACTGAGCTAACACTTACTGAGCACTGGCTGTGTGCAGACACTGTGCTAAGTGCTTGTACACAATGACTCCTCTAATTCTCAGAGCAACCTGATGACACTGGAACTGTTACTATCCCCATTTTACAGACAAGAAAATGGAAGCCAAGAGAGGTTAATTAACTTGCCCAAGGTCACAGAGCCAGTAAGTGGCTTCAAATGCTGGGATTCCAATCTAGGCATTTGGAGTCTGCCCTTAACCATTTCACTAGACCAGCGGTTCTCAACTTGTGGGTCGCGACCCTTTGGGGGTCGAACGACCCTTTCACAGGGGTCGCCTAAGACCATCGGAAAACACATATATAATTACATATTGTTTTTGTGATTAATCACTATGCTTTAATTATGTTCAATGTGTAACCATGAAAATACATCCTGCATATCAGATATTTACATGACGATTCATAACAGTAGCGAAATTACAGTTATGAAGTAGCAACGAAAATAATTTTATGGTTGGGGGTCACCACAACATGAGGAACTGTATTACAGGGTCGCGGCATTAGGAAGGTTGAGAACCACAGCTCTAGACTCTTTCCCTTATTTAATGGATGCATCCATTTCTGGAGATAGATGATTCCAGGGTGATTAGGATGCATCCATTTCTGGAGATAGATGATTCCAGGGTGGTTTGATGGCTAAATTATGCCACCAAGGGCCTAGAGTCCCTCCATCGATTCCCTCCGTAGGCCTCAGTATGTTGGACTGCTCCTGGTTCATCCCTGAAACTAGGAAGGGCTTTCTTTCTCTGAGCCTCTTTCTGCCTGATTGAAAATTGAGGTTCTGAATGTCAAAGGTAGAAGGGAATAGATGTGGGTTTAGTAACCAGCCAAGCTCCCCCACCAGCAGGCCCATCTCCCTCAGACAAAGGACAGGGTTCAAGCCACGAGAACAGTATCTCCCTGGACCCCCCTGAATCCCGAGATACTCCCTGGTGACTGGGTTCCTCGTGACCCGAGACATGGATTCGAGTGCAGGTAGGTCACCGGAAGTGATTCCAGATAACCATGGTGGAGGATCGCGTGCGAGAGACAGGACAGGGGAATACCTGCACCTTGAGAAGCAGCTGCCACTGTGGGCAACCTGAGTACAGTCCTCGTGGGGACTCGGAGCCAGTGAGGAGCATGTGCCTGAGAGTCACCCCCGGCAGCGAGGGAGTGAAGTATTTATGCTCAGACTCATCAGTTATTAGTTGACGGCTGCTCTGGTTCACCCTCCTGCCCTTCCTGCGCACAGGGGCTCTGGAGGCCAGAGACAGTCCTCAGGGGCCAGACAAGCGCCTGTGCTGCAGTTAGAAGTCAGTGTGACGTGGTGAAGGCCAGGAGATATTGGCGGGGGGGGGGGGGTCGGCAGTCTGCTCCCCTATCTGAGTGCACAGCACCATGTCCTGCTGCCCACGCCAGAAACCTGGGGTTCTCCTAGACGGCTCCCCTTCTCTCACACTCCAGATCCAACCCATAATTGGGCTCTATTCTTTCACTTCTAATTATCTCTTGACTCCACCCATTTCTCCCCATCCCTTCCCCTGTGGAGGAGCCTATCACTCCTGCCTGGACACTTGCAAGTCCTCCTTTGGTCTGAACTCCACAGCCTGTCACTCAGCACTTACTTCCTCTGGCCTCTGCCAGCCTCTCCCAGCCCCCAGCCTTGTGCCGCCACTCCAGCACCCTGAACCTCTTACACTTCCCAGTCTCACCTCCAGGTCTTTCATTCGTTGCTCCCTCCTCCTCGCACCCCCTTTCCTATCCCTATTCCCACTGCATCCTCTGACTCACCCTCCTTCAGACCTCAGCTAAGAACTGGCGCATAAGCTTCATCTCATGTGCCAGCTCTAGTTAATTGATAGTGGCTCCCTGGAGTGCTGTGTTGAGAAGGATTCTGGAGCCCAGTCAGGCTTGGCAGGTGTGCTGAGGTTGATTAGCAATGTCTGCCCTGGGCGTGGGCAGGGGAAGTGGAACAGCCTGGTCCGCTCTTCCTCTGACTGTGTCAGCAGCTTCCAGTTCATCCTTCCTCCATCACAGCACCTACCACCCTGTAGTAAGTATCACGTGTGTGTCTGTCTGTCCCACTAGACACTAAGTTCAGTGCCTACCCACCAGGGGGCCTGGCCCACAGATGATATGCTGCAAATTTTGTTGAACGATGGGTAGGTACCATGAGCCGAAGCATGTACACATTTTCCTTTCCCCACTCCTTCCCAGTCTCCTTCATCACACAGAATCGAGGCCTCAGCACCCTCTCGGCAAACCCAATCTCTCCGAGCTGGCTGCCAGCGCCCCTCCTGCTCTTTCCCTCTGCTTCTGGTTGTCCTGAGGTGTCTGGGTCATCAGCATCCAGCTCCATGGTTGTCTGGGTCACTGTGCCCACAGCTCTAGAAAAGAGAGTGTGAGCTGGT